TCATTTTAATTTATAGCTATCTTAGCAATAGGCCCTAGAAATAAAAATCTGTAGCAAGACACGCAAGCGGATTTCTGGCTTGTCATCAGCAGTTGTGGTGCATTCGCGGCTGGCAAACAGACGTTGTACCCGGAAAATCCAATTCCCATTGTGAAAGGATTCATTTCAGTATGGCATTTAGATTAATTTCATGGTTAGATAAAACTAATTTTTTAAAAAAAAAGCAAAACCATGACACACATTCCAAACTTAAATACAAAACCGAAAACACAACAACAAATAGATAAAATATGTCCAAAGATCCCCAGCCAGGCAAGTCCCTCCAGCAGAATTGCAATTTATTGTGCCAGCAAAACCAATTAATAAATCAGCAGAGCAAACAATAAGATTCACTCTGGAAGGTGAAAGTTGTGTCGTAGTACTTGCTGACCCAGCTTTAAAACAATGCCAGGTTTCAGTTATTCCATAGAATGTTAGGGTTCCTCCTTTTAGGATTTATAACCCCTCACAATTAAACCAAGATTCTCTTCAGATAAAATGAAGATGCAGTACCACCACATGTTGCCTGATCATTTAAAAAGTTAATTATGTTGGCAAATAGAATTAGCATTAGTAGAATATAATTGTGTTAAAACTAATCCGCTTACAGTGAAAGTTTAGGTATCTGTACCCCTTTTAACAATGAGCAGAACTACAAGGTTCCACTAGGAAAAAAGACAACTAGCGTAATGAGTTATTCTGAACACTGCTTGCAGAGCTGCATTTCATCAAGATTCTAATTATCTTCAGATTTGGACTTAGTCTTTACAATCACTCGAACAGACATTTCAAATTGCCAGGAAGGACTCTAATTGACATGAAATCTCACTCAGGATACCAACTGGTCAACTCAAAAATACAATCTGTATCAAACACTGTTGCTATTTGCCAGATTAGAACAAAAAACAACAACAACAAAAATACTGATGCCTATGGCAAAAAAAGGAAAGAAAAAGAAAAAAAAGGCAATGCAACAGCAGTGATAAATTTATTTAGTTAGTTATTTAAGTATTTTACCAGCAAGGAAGAGAGAGATTTTTATAAATGTCCCTTAAATCTGCTCAGTTTGGTATACAAGTCAAAACACAATGTTACTGTTAAATACCAGCATACTGTACTTTGAGAAAATTGGAATTTATTTCTCATTTTGCCAGCTTGCTCTTGACTCTGCAAAGCTACTCGTTAAAACTTTTGAAGAATATTTTATCCTCGTTTCTTATGCACACACCCCAATGATACTTAATCCCAGGTCTCAGCGGTAGTTTTCTTTGAAATTCTCCCAGTCAACATGCAGGACCACAGAATGTACAAATCTCAATGTGTGCATGAAGGATGGGTTCAAAAGTACTAGACAGGAGCAGATGGCTATAAAAGGGATAAAAGGTATTGGAGAAATTATTGGGAGTTGGGAATATTAAAGACTCAAGGGAAGAATCTGTTAGAAAGTATTACTCTTCCCGTGGTAAAGGCCTATAGATCCAAGCATCGATCCACGCAAAATTACGCTTTCAACTCAATGGAGTTAAAAACAGTTGCTGTACTGCTAGAAATAAAGAATATCAATGTTTTCATTTTTTTTAAAAATTATAACCTAGAAGGGAAGAGCAGAAATATTTGGCTTGGCAAGAGGGACTATCAATTTGTCAGATCAGTATCTTAAAGATGAGGTGAAATAAACCATAAGCCAATGAGATATTGTTATCCCTAATTAAAAGACAATGTTGAAGGGCTTGGGAACGGGGAAGGAAAAGACTGCAATTATACCTAGAGATACTATCAACAGATCATTCCAGGATGGAGATAACAATTTGTGTTCCAGCTCATGGTTATGAAATCTAAGTAACAAAAAACACGAATGCCGAAGTATTGCTCAAGCACAGCGCAACAAAAAGGTCCTTAATGTATTGAAAGAAGTAAAGGAAGTTGCTGGTACAACAACGGGCAACTTTAGCTATCTCAGTATTAGCTGGTCGAGTGACACATTGGGGCATGGTTTGGAGAAGCAAGTTAAATGAGAAGCCTGCTTTACAAAGCCATTTATATTAAATGGAAAGGTGACTCACTTTAGAGGGAGGAAGTGGGCTAAGGAATTTCAATATGGCTTCCTCTAAATTGAGTTGTAGTTCAGACTCTGCCTGAGTTTCTGGGCAAGTCATTTAACTTCTGTACACCTGTTTCCCCAAACATGAAAGGGGGCTAACAAATCTTTCCTCCCTCACAGGGTGATGAGAAGAAACACGGTAAGGTGAAGTAATATCTGTAATTGGACCAACTTCAGCTGGTGGAAAGGACAAGTTTTTGAGCTTCACAGAGCTGTTCCTAAGGCCTGGGGACAGGAACATGAGCGCATAAGCTAAATAGAAGGTAGGTCAGATTGTTAAGCATAAGGGGCTCACACATGTTGTTAGAGACCACTTAAAATGAAGTGGGCAATAAAAGGTTAGATTGTTAAGCATAAGGGTTCACACACCGGGTGATGCAAGGATTAATGCTTGTAAAACTCTAGATAAGTGCTATGATGATTATTATTCCTAAATTCTGTGCAGGAGGTTCACTGTGATCACATCACAATTAGCGCAGATAAGAATGTGATTCATCTAGGATTAGCAGCAAAAGTGAACTTTTAAAAAAGGTCAGATTTTATAACTGTACGGCTAGGAGGAGGAAAATGACTGACAGGAGGTTTAAAGGGCAAAGTAACAAAAAAATCCTCCACCTTTACAATTATAATCAGCCTGGATGCAATATAATAAGAGCATTGTATAAAAGAACCACCTACAATCAAAACCAGAGAAACCTAACCATGGGAAAGAAGAGACTGCATGATTAGCTCAAGTCCTTGGGTTTCTTAGAGCTGGAAAGTATCCCCTATGGATGGAGGAGATTAGTTAACAGTGTAGTGCAAAAAGAACGGTCAGGACACAGTGTGCTCAAGGGGACCATGGGCCATCCGGAGAACAAAATGCCAGGAGCCTGCCTCCAGCTCTTGGAGATTGCTGAAGGCGGCAGATGAACTAAAAAGCTCTAGTCTTAACAAAATTCCAGAAAAGTCTCTCTGTTTTTGGCATCTGGAGAAAGAGGCTAATGGCCCTTGGCATCTGTTGCCACTGCTGGAAGCTGAATGCCCTGAAAGGGGACGTACTGCTGGCACCAGGGAAGGTGCTCTTCCTTTTCCTTCCGTGAGGTGAAACGCTCACCTCTGCCTCCCCCGCTGCTGCCACCCACATCCCCGAGCCCATGCAGTTGGGATGGAGGCTGACGGGGGAGACCTGGGCCTGGGCCTGCAGAGGCCCTTGGGCCCCAGTCACAGATCCTGCAGGGTGGGAACAGCGACACCCGGGCGGGCTGAGCTTGGCCAGGCCAGTATAAAAGTCCCCCAGGTTCTGCTCTAGGGCCTGCAAGAGGCTGAGGACCGCTCCCAGCGTGGCCAATGCTCCCAGCCAGGGCCAGTTTTCCCAATGGCCCTTTCCAGGCAGGTTGGCACCAGCTGCCTGGGGCTCAAGGGAGGAGCAGGCCCCAGCTCAGTACCTCAGGAGATGCTCAGTTCAACCACAAAGGGACCCACACACTGGCAGGTAACAGCTCCCACCCATAGGGCCCCCGCAAAGCCACTCAGGCTGGGGGCACTCATCCCCCTTGCAGAGGGGGTGATGGGCTCCTTCCCATTGGCAGAATGGGGGGGGGGGGAAATCGCTGTACCCAGGAGCCCCCAGCACAGCTGCACATCTCCAGTCCCGCATCCAGCCCTATGCATTCTGTATCCACAGCCCATGCCAGCCTGTACCCTCCGCCTGGCCCTCAGCATCCCCCCTCCCCCAGTCCGCCCTTCCCAGAGGGGCTCCTAGCCCGTGTGGGGGCAGCACCTCGAGAGCCCAGACATGATGGAATTGAAGCAGCGGCTGCAAGGAGAGTCCAGGGGGGCAGCAGGGCCCACCGGGGAGGGGTGAGGGACAGCAGGTGGGGGCTGGATACTGACACAAAGCTGGGCAGGTCCCTATGCTTGAGACTGAAGCCCCAGCAAGCTCTCGTGGTGCTACCAAGAGCAACTCCGAGCCACACAGCGCCTGAGCTGCGACCGCCATCTTACCTGCCCTGGTGGTGGGGAGCATCTGGGGAGGGGGTAGGAGTGCTTCCCCACCAGCCTGGCTGGGGGCCACTCCCTGCTCCTCAGAGCCCCGGCTTGTGGCCACCGAGCTCTGCCGGGCAGCCCTGCCAGCCGCATCCATTGCTGCCGCCACTACCGATGGAGGGACCCAGGGTGGAAAGCTCATCTGGTGTGGAAACAGCAGGCGCATGCAGGCCTCTCAGCTAGTGCTGGTTTCTCTGAGCAGGGCACCAGTCGCTCCAGGCCTCAGCTGCTATAAGACTGCCCAGATAGGGGGCAAAGCCCCAGTATCTTCTCCCAAGGGAGCCTGGCCCCAGCCTGAGAGGCCCTACAATGGGAGGTGGGGCGGTCACAACATACAGCAAGCTCTCAGCTGTGCTAGATGGGGGAAAGTCTACTGTCCCAGAAATCTACCACCCGAGGCAGCCGCCTAGTTTGCCTATAGCAAGAGTGACCCCTGGATACTGACCATGCTGTATCTGGCATATCAAGGGGGAGGAGAACACCCTGAAACAGAACAAGACAAGGAACCACCCAAGACTGGGACATGCACCGAAAATCTGAAGATACGGATATTCAAAGCAGTAAGGCATTAGCATCTATGGGACTGGATTGTACAGACTATTTGTAGCACTAGAATTATGCAACATTCCTTTCATCTGTACAAACCTGGGTTCAAACCCAGTTTAGGTTATAAGTGAAATGGATTTGATACGCCATCTGTTGCAGAGGATTTTCAAAATCAACCTACCGGTAGTTATTTTTCCACTGATACAGCTAGGTCAGTGTGGTAGGTTCTTTTATATGCAATATAACATGCAACAAATGAGTAGAAAAGAAATAAAATTATACTTGCCAGTCTCTTCAAAAAAATACCCATTTCTGGACATCGCTGCCGGTGGACTTTCTAAAAAAAAGAAAGGGAAAAGATAGATTAAGTCCAAGTGTAAGAACCGTAATGAATCTGAATACTTGGGTTTAACTGCTTAGCTCATCATCATAAATGCTCTCAGACAGACGGAAGAAGAAAATTATTACAGACATTAATGATTTATTCTGGTACTGACAAGTTTAACCTTTTGTTTATTGACTTCAACATTTCCCAGAATGTTCAATACTGTCACCATCTCCTGCAAAAAGCGTTTAAAAAAAAAAAAACCCTCATGCTTCAGCTGTCCTGTGTGCGTTTAGTGCTTCCAGCAGAAGATACTACATTAGTCAACATCTGCGCAAGCCTAATTACATCGGCGTGACATGTCAGATCTGAAGGACCACATGGGTGCAAGTATTAACACAAAAGTCTGCTAAGGGACGATCCTATTAAAAGAGTAAATAATGGCATCCAGACGGTACGTACAAATATGGCACCGTACGCTTGGATAATTAATTCTAATGAAACCTTCACTTAAATGAGCTTGATTTTACAATCTGTTCTGCTCCTTTTAAACAAACCATCGGGACACCTGAACCAGAACTTTCTCCCGCATGACAAACACGCTCTTGTCTTCCCCTGCCCGCTGCCCAACCCTGGATATAGCAGACAGATACCGTTTGTTCCAACAGGGTCCCAAAAAAGAGGCAATGTCACACTCACATGCAAACAACTGGGAAACTGAACTGATGTCAGGAATGGGTCCCTGCGTACCCGTGCTTAAAACAGTTGACTTGCCTCTATGGCTAGGTTTACCTCATTATCAGCAGTTACACAAAGTATGATTAACACTCGGCAGACACCGGACAAAAGGGTTTAACAGCCAGCTGAAATTTGCCCCATCAGTTCCGAATGATGATGTGGGCTAGCTGCCTACTCTTAGTCATGCATGTGTAATTCTGGCATTTGGGCCAAGTCGAATTTTTAAACCCACCCTAAACAGTTCAGATTGCTGGTTTAGGAAAGGGCGACCGCTTTTTCAAAAGGTGAATACAGGACACATGCAGGAGCCCCGCCCCCCTACCCCTCCTCTTCCCTGCCGAGGCTCCGCCCTCCGGCCCAGCCGGAAGCCAAAGCTGGGGGCCATGGTAAGAGCTGAACTGCCCAGGGAGCCCGGGATGCTGTGGGGAGCCCAGACCCCCCCACCTGCCCACTTCAGCCCTACCCGGAAGAGACTGGCACCGCCCCTGAGCCTGGGGCAGGCATAGGGCGGCGCTGCAGGGAATCCAGGACAACTGCTGTCCCGGAGTTATTCAGCCCAGGACCGGGACTTGAACTCTGCATTTTGGGACTGTCCTGCCCAATTTGGGATAGGTAGTCACCCTAGTTTAGGACCACTGAGGACCTTCTTTATACCAGGGACTGGCCAAGGTGTAACTCTTCTTCAGTTCAACTCACCATAAAAGGTGTGGAAATGGAGCTCTAAATACTCATGAATACATTAAAACATTCACCTGAACAACACTTCACATAGCAGCCACATGCAGTATTTGAGGGTCAAATTCACTGGTTTGTAAATAGCGGTGTAAGCTAGTCAGAAGACAGGTGAAAGAGGCAGAAGGGCATAACCTGCAGTGATCTGGCATTCAGCAGGTGTGCAAAACAAGTGCCATAGACAGAAATTTGGGCCTATGGGTATTAGAGATGGTATAAAACAACGTGAAGCAGGTCTCTTTAATTTACAGTATAGGATCCTGGTACTTAATTTTCCTGCTACAAATACCCTACCCATCACCCTTCTCCCACAACCCACATGGAACAGAGGTTACACTCATTTTGCACAATTAGGGCCAACTCTGCTGCTGGCATAACTCCATTTGACATAAGCTGAGTTACGCCAGCAGAGACTCTGGTGCATTAAATGCCAGAAGGATACAAGTTCGGTTACTTCACTGCTTATGTTCATTTTCGAACCAACTTACATCCAGCTTGTAACTTCACCCCATCAGTCACTGCCAAATGTCTCTCAGAGACTTCCATTTGGCTCCATTTGCTCCAAGTGTTCATACACTTGGGGCTATTTAAAGAACACAAGTTAAAAAGGATGAACCCAGAGACCAGCCCAGGACAAAGCAGAAATAACCGTGTGCTTCCCCAAGAGGGAGAGTGAGGAGTAAGAAAAACGATTGGGCTGCTGGACAAGCAATGAACCAGGGTCCAAAGATGCCCCCAAAAAGAGTCAGTTGTTTTATCCAGCTGGGAGGGAACGGGAAAATATGGTTGTTATGTTAATGACTGAAGGGTGATTTAGGAGCTCTCCATTCTTAAGGCCCAGTCAGGCACCTAGAGCAATCAATAGGCACTTCTTTTCAGTTGCTGCGTACATACATTAAAAGAAACAGATCAAGTTAAAAAAAATAAGATATCCTGATGGAAGAGCCACAAAATAGTGAAAGCCTAGACCAGGGATATCAATAGGCGGAACGACGGCCAAATCCAGACTGCCAGACGCTTTTGAATGGACCCAGGAAAAAAAAAATGTATTTATCATCATCATCTTCTCTGGAGTCTGGAGCTTGACTATACGTTGACCAAGAAATCTGGACCTTCACAAAAAAAAAAAATAATAATAATAATTGACTACCCCTGGCCTAGACTCTCAATTTATAATAAGCATGAAGTCCACATATCAAGGGTCTGATGGAATTGATTAAAAAAATTGTGCATTATAGTTTTTTTGTTTAAATAAAAATAGGTCACAGGTGCTTTCATAACATTTTGAAATCATAAATCAGACTGTGAACTAAGGGGCTCTTTTCTATTTCAACTCCCTAGTCTCCTCCACATCATATTTATTACGTTTCCATTGCATTCCTGAACTAACATGGTTATCCTCTGATGGCCAACGTAATAACACAAATATATGAATCTGCATTTATTTTAACCAAAGCCTATACCTTTTATTATAGAAATATGTGTGTATATTAGAGAGACAAGGAAAGTGAGATTATATCATCTTATTGGACCAACTTCTGTTGGCGAGAGACAAGCTTTTGAGCCACACAGAGCTCTTCTTCCGGTCTGGGAAAGGTGCTTCCCAGCGTCATAGCAAAATGCAAGATGGAACAGATTGTTTAGCATAAGTAGTTAGCACATATTGTAAGGGACCATTCAAGGTCGAGTGGCCTGTTACCCCCCCTTTTGTCCTATGACTGCAGAGGTGTTTAGGGCTTGTCTACACTAGCAATTTACAGCCCTGCAACTTTCTGGCTCGGGGGAGTAAAGAAACACCCCCCCCTGAGCCAGGGCCGCCCAGAGGATTCAGGGGGCCTGGGGCAAAGCAATTTCGGGGGCCCCTTCCTTAAAAAAAAGTCGCAATACTATAGAATACTATATTCTCGTGGGGGCCTGGGGCAAATTGCTCCACTTGCCCCCCCGGGCAGCCCTGCCCTGAGCGCAGCAAGTTTCACCGCTGTAAAGCACCAGTACAGACAGTGCCCCAGCGCTGGGAGATATGCTCCTCGTGGAGGTGGGTTTTTTACAGCGCTGGGAGAGCTTTAGCGTTGCCAGTGTAGACTAGCCCGTAGTGCGTTACAGATTGTTGTAATAAGCCATAAATTCAGTCTCTATGTTCAGTCCATTAATTTAGTGTCTAGCAGAGTAAGGAGTTTGTATACTTCATATCTATAAAACCTGATGAATGAAGGGAGTTCAAAGTCTGTTGCATTCTATATTAAAAGTGCCTCATATCTGCAGCATCCCTCCTGGGCTGTGATTTTATCACAACTTAAGTAGCACTGTGGCCTGATCACTACTTGGGTGGGAAACAAAAAGGGACAAGCCAGGGCACTACCATAAGGAGCAGGGTTTCATTAGGTGGCACTGTTTCCCTTGAGTAAATAACGAACCAATGCTCAAGCATGTTGCCTAGGGGACAGTTATGCTGGAAATGCTGTTTTTCAGATGAGTCATAAAACCAAGGTTTTAACCTGGTAATTAAAGGTCCTGTGGCACGTTTTGAAAAAGTTGGGTGTTAACCCTGGAATGTCTTGGCTAAATTCCAACTCCAGTAATTGCATTCTCATTACGTAAGCTGTCCTACGGTTTCAATTGGGTAAAGTCTTAAAACTATTGCGTAGCAATGGACAGCTATTACCACCCACACAGAAGTGGCTGAACTTATTACTTTGTATCCCAAATAGGTTTGGAATATGCTTTAGGAGCCTGTGAGATAAAAATGTTTACATATGTGTTGATTATAGGCCCAGTCCCGCACAAAATGTATGCATGGGACTACTCGTGCTTAAAATTTAAGCATGTACATAAATGTTTGCAGAATTAGGGCCCATCTCTTTTCTCTCTCAGCATCCAGCGGATCAATACATTTTCAGCATAATCTGATTTCCTAAAAGCATTTTGTGTCTAATAAATATTTAAAATATTCTATTTAAGTTGGAACACAAAGTATGGTCTCTTTTCATTACATGGAAACATATGTTTACGGATAGTTTGTGTCTAGAACCTTACACGTTTACCACACTTCTTTATACAGTATACGGCAAAGCAATGACTCCGACGGACCAGATCTATCTAAAGTATTTGCAGGGTGTAAACAGTGAAGAGAGAACAATTATTTAGGGTGGCACAAGAAATGGAAAGGTTCTGGCAGAGTATCAGAATAATCTTCAAAGGGTAATGATGGCAGCACCGTCACTTCAAACGTTTAAATCTTGACAATGAAACACTAGCCAGTTATACTGTAGGGAACAGTCCCACAATCCCCCTCTCAGGTCACCCTCTAACCAAAGAGCCAGCAGTGACTTATGGAAAATATTGAACCTGTGACTTAAAACAAATCTGCTCATAGATGGTTTCTATGTTTTTCCCCTTTTATTCTTTGCTACTAAGGGTACAGGCAAGGAGAGTCCATCTGTGTCTCCTGCTTGAACCTCAGCTGAAGGTACAAATCTCTACTTGTACATCATAGTCCTATAAGCAGACACCAGTTGTGACACAGCTGCGGAAAGATTGATTGC